GCGATGGTGCCAACTTGGGCCAGTGAAGCAACATCCTCCACAACTAGACTGAAGAACAAAAGGACAGCAACTTGTCTGTTCCCATCCCCCAATTCCCCAATTAAAAAAAATCTTTAAAAAAATAATAAAATAAAATAAAATGTATTTCTCTAAAAAAAAAAAAAAAGAACTGCGAGCTCCGAGCAATAGTGGTTGGATTCCCGGCCCAAGCTGAGCTGCCAACAGGGGCAGGATGGCTCAACTAAAAAAATAAATAAATAAATAAATAAATAAATAAATAAATAAATAAATAAATAAAGGTATTAAAGGATTTCGATTGGGAGTGAACAACTGACTTGATCATCAGAAATGAGCAAGAATTTAGGGAGAGAGACACTGCTATAGCAAATCAGAAAAAAAGTGTAAGGATGATGGTTATGGAGAGAATGGGAGAGAGACATTCTAAATCATGTGGCAACTAACTAAATGTAGAAGAAAAAGGAGGCAGTAAGAATGACCCCCTAGTTTCTTGCTTGAATGACCAGGGTACAGTGTAATAATTATAGGGAATGGAAGAGGAAAAGACTGGAGTGGAGAAGGAGGACAGATGACAAACTCTAAATCTGATGTTTAATATGTGGTGCTGGTGGAACCTGCACTGTTCAGGAAGCAATAAGATATATGTGTCTGAAACTCCTGAGAAAGAACTGTGCTAGAAATACAGATTTTAGACTTAACTAGTATATATGTTGGTCAAAACAATTAGAGTGAATATCCTAATATTATACTGAAATGACAAAAAAAATCTATAATAGCCTTGGAAAAAAAGAAAGGTTGTCATCACCAAAATAAAAATGTTGAGGAACTCCAAGATTATAAAGAGCATATGGGCTAAGAATGATTGAGAAACAAACAAACAAACAAAGCACAGCTCAAATCATGTACAGAGAAGACTTCTGAAGGAGAAAGAGATCTCAAGAAGTCCTAGAAATTCAAATTCCAAACTCAAGAGTCAACAATTATAAAGTAAGAGAGTTTTATCCTGGAAAATTCAGGTTGGTTAATTCATGTTAGGCATTTCTGATGGCTGGACTAGTTGTTGCCATTGGCAGCACCACTCCCAACCACTCTCTTCCCCACAAACAATGAAATTTTGTGTGGCTAACAGAAGTGGCCCCATACAAAGTCTCAAGAACAAAATAAATGACCCGCTAAAGAAAGACTCTTAATAGTATTAAGTTGGGCTTAAAAGAGAAGCAGAAGTTGAGGTAATGCTGAACCTGTACACTGACAAGGTTGATTAAGGTATATAAAAAAGCAATTGACTCCACATGTGTGCAGGACAAAGCCTCAAGGTAATGCCTGAAGTGGGATTTCTAACAAGGGAGAGACCCTAGAGCTGGAGATCAATCTCCAGATAACTGACTTGCCTGAGGGGCAACCTCACAAAAAGGGTCTACACCATTGACCATCTGAATTCTTTTTAAGATTTTTACTGGGGAATTGGGGGATGGGAACAGCGCTGGGGAATTGGGGAAGGGGAACAGCCAAGTTGCTGTCCTTTTGTTCTTCAGTCTAGTTGTGGAGGACGTTGCTTCACTGGCCCAAATTGGCACCATCATTGCGCTCTTCCTGAGCAAGGCAGATCAGTTGCCGGCTTCTGGACGGCCACTCACTGTGGTTGCTGGCCGCTCACGCTGGCTGCTGGCTACACATGGTAGCCCATGGCAACTCACTGCAGCAGGGGCTGCAGCCTACGCTGTTGCCAGCGACTCAGGGCAGCCCAGCTCCAGGTTGAGCTGTTGTTCAGCATCTTAGCTGTAGAGGGCAGTGTCACTGGCCCTCATATGTGGGATCCAAAATGGGGCGCTCTGGCGTCCCAAGCCAGCTCTTAACCAATGTGCCACTTGGCTGGCCCGAGCATCTGAATTCTTATTACATCCATCCATGCACAATCAGCAGAAGTTTCCCCTATAAGTACCACCTGCATGCACCAAAGAGGGTTGGGTATCAGCTGAGGATGTACACTCCAGTATCATACTGTGACAATAAGACTTTTTGGGGAAAAAAGAGACAATAAGAAAATGTAAGCAGACAAAAAATATAGAAATTAATTTCAGTGAAGAGTGGCACAAACTCAAGAAATAGTGAACAGAGGAAACAGAATTTAAAAGGTACATAACTAAAATCCCAGAGAAATCTGAGAGGATATCACATCTAGAAAAACAACACAATCTAATAATAAAATATAAACACGTTGTCGTGAAAAATAATCAGAATCTTTTAAATTAGTGAAAGGATTGAAAAAGATGAAAGTCATAATAATTAAGACCTACTGTGCCTCTTTGAAGCACTCAGATACTAGTTACACAATCTTATGTGAGAGAAACTATTGGGACACCCATTCCACACACAAGGAAACCAAGGTTGTAATGGTTAAGTAAGTGTCAGGCAGTTTGATTTTAAGCCCTGCAATCTAGATGGGCTGAATAGCAAAATGAACACATGGCTAAGATGGAAGATTGAGGGGTTCCCTAGAATGCAGAGTAAAAAGAGAGATGGAAAAAGTAAGCACCAATCTTGTAGTTGTATGAATAAGTGGAGATAAAATAAAAGGAAAGAAATGATCAAAGAAATAAAGAGGGAAAAACAAACAAAACATTTCCTAGAACTCAAGATTCAGGGACCACTGAATGCTAAAATGGTATATTAAACCTCAGGACTTCAAGGGAAAAAGAAATCCCAGAAAATGCTATAGCATCCAGAGAGAAAAGTCAGGTTATATGCAAATAAATGAGAATTATATTGACATTGAACTACTAATCAGCAATACTGGACACATGAAGATAATTGAGAACTATCTTTTAATTTTGGAGGAAAAATGATTGTGAAATTAGTATTCTATACCCAGCCAATCAACCATTTCAGTGGGAGGAATAAATAGACACTTTTTCAGATAAGAAAGGATTTAAACAATTACTGAAATAATTACTCAGGAACGTACTACAGAAAAAGTTTTTAAAATTACTTTAAGGAAAAGATGACACTGATACAAGAAATAGCAATGAGTAAAGAAGTCAATAAAATAGAAACTTACCTATGACAATGGAAGCAAGAATTTATATTGGAGTTAAAGATAGTCTATTTAATAAATGGTGCTGGGATAACTGGACTGACACGTGCTAAAAAATGAAAATGGACCACCTACTTACACCATATATGAGAACAAATTCAAAATGTATTAAAGACTTAAATGGAAGACCTGAAACCATAAAACTCCTAGAAGAAAACATAGGGAGTAAATTTGCAGACATTACCCTGAGCAATGTTTTTACTGAGATATTCCCTTGGGCAAGGGAAATAAAAGAAAAAAATTAACATATGGGATTACATCAAATTTAAAAGTTT